ACTGCGCCCCACCTGTGGCTGCCCACAGCTCCCAGCTTGCCTTCCCTCGTGGGCCACGCTGCTCTTGCCCCGTTCCCACACCCACTCTTCATCTACAAGGCGTTCAAAGGAACATCTACGGCAGGGAGCGCCCCGGAACACGCTGCCAGGTCCCACCAGCGGGCAATGTTTTTGTTCAGGAACAGCTCCAGCCTCGGAGCCTCGCTGAACTCAGCACCCTGGCCATCGAGGCAGTTGCTGGAGACAAACTGTTGAAGCCAATCTGCTAAAAGCAGTAAGTAATATTGATGGCGTACGTTGTCCCTTAAATGTTCCCATCGGCCCTCTGAGGCCAAAATCCTGACTGCCCGCGTTATTCGTGCCTTGGACTTCTTCTGGCACCTAAAGCATTCCAGTGTGCCTCTATTGTCCGGATGGCTTAGGCCTGTGGTAACCATTGCAGCTCTGTGACTACAATGTCCCACAGTCTCATCCATCCTATGTGCTCCCACACCATGTGCCAGGGCCTGTGAACGTCACGGCCAGGGCAGAAGATGGAGCCCTCGTTGCAGCGGGTGCCACCTCCTCCCGGGAGGAGATCCGTGCCCTTCTTCCCTACAGGCAGGATGCACAACAGCTTTGAGAAGCTGTTCTGAAATGGGTGCTCAGTAGCCTGCGGCACAGCCAAAATTACAGCAACTCATGGTCAAGGAAGTAGACAGAAAGGCCTCCTTGACCCGTATGCAACATGGGATGGAGTCATTGCTGGAGGCACCAGACGTGGTGCTGTGTTCAGTGCCCACTGGAGAAGACATTAGGGATGCTTCTTGGGACTCCAGCTTTATGGCCACAAGGGCCGGCGGCTCGGCTGGAAGTGTGATGAGCAGGTAAGTGCTCTTGCTGAACCACTGCTCTGCATGAGAAATGGGGGTGCTGGTGGCTTTGGGTGCTCCTGAGGGCAGGGGTCTATTGGAGCTGGGTATTGGCAGTTTTGACTCCAGGAACAACCCAGCCTCCAGCTGCAGAGGGAGTCCACCCCGCGCCTCACCAGGCATCCTCACACCCGTGTAACACGGCCACAGGAGAACCTCCCCGTTGGCAGGGGCACCCCCCTCCCAGGCGGCCATCTTAGCACCCTTGTTTCTCACTTGGCTTTCAGGCCACACTGGAAGATGGCCTTGTCACCTCAGCGTGGGGGGACACTCCGCAGTGATATCCTGGCGGTCAGCGGGAAGCCAGCTTCTGGAGCACTGCTGGGGGAAGGGGGGGGGGATGAGGGCGGGCAGTGCCGGCCTGGTGACATGTTCACAGTTAGAAAAGTGATCTGGTATTACGTGCTATGTTTGCACTCTGTGCCCTTTGGAAAGGCCCTCAAGTCCTTTCTGCTTTTTGCTCCCCGTGTCACCGTGGGGCACAACCAACCACGCACCCTTGTCCGAGAGCATCTCTACAGCACGTGCACGCATGGTGCATCGTGGAAAAGAGGACACGTCCGAGGATTGGGGGAAGATACAGATCAGTGACAATGAGGCCTGGGCTCTAGAGACCTAAGAGCTTTATTGGGGGGTGCACGTGTGCGTGGTATTCCCCCGAGAACATTTTATAGGGGGGGTGCATGTGTGGGTGGTATCCCCTGGAGAGTGTTTTGTAGGGGGGGTGCATGTGTGGGTGGTATCCCCCCGAGAACGTTTTATAGGGGGGGTGCATGTGTGGGTGGTGTCCCCCAGAGAGCCCCCAAGGACAGCAGTCTTCGCCACACAGCACCACGGTGCTGCTTTCCCCGTGGTCCCCACCCTTGATGGCCCCCCCAGCCCCGCTCCAGGCCAGGACACCCTCCCTGGTCCCGCTGGGTGCCTTGGCACCCGCCGGTGATAGTTTAAATCTGCGGCACCTTTACTGTTCTGTTACTGCTTTTGGGGCTAGGCTTTCGGCTCTAGGCCCAGCCGAGCAACGCGGGCGCACAAAAGTCTTTCGCCACCCTTGAGCGAGCGGTGGACGCGGGGTCCGTGGCCCTCCCACCCCCCAGCGCAGCACCCCACTTGTTTCTCCCCATCGCCCCCCGGCCCAGGCCCTGCCCTCGGCCCATCCTGGCTGCCCCCCACCCGCACGGCCTCGGGTCCTTCCCCTCCCCGCTTCCTCGCCCCCC